CTGGGTTCCGCAAAGGTGTTCAGTTAATGAATTCGATAGAATCGATGCTTTGATGGTACATAATTATAATGATAATATAATGAAACGAAAGGAGGAACGCTCTATGCATGGTCTTCAGTTAGTCGGGTTTAGTGAGCAGCACTTACATTCAGTTCAGGATTATATGAAGGCTTTGAAACTTATCTTGGCTATTAATAGTAAAACATGCCACTTAAATGGATGTATTGCTCCAGTTGTCGCCGATTGGCCCGGCCAATTGTTTATTAGGAAAATATTATATATAAAAAAAACTATCACAAGAAATTGAACTGTTCTTACCAATGTTAGGCCCGCTCCACTTATCTTTAAATAGCCGAGAGCAAGTCTTAATGATTCATCATTCTTTTTTTGAGAAGCTATTTCACTTCGTATTTGGTGCACGTAAGAAATTGGCAAAAAAGCCCCGCCCCTGGAGAATCAATCTTATTTTAGAGCTTGCTCGAAATGGTTGGATTAAAATTCGAGATCAAATTACAAAAAAATTTGGCCGAAGTTGCAAAGACATTGAATATCAAACAATGGTTGATTTACTTGATAATTTAGTTCCAGCGGTACTTGACATATATGCTAATTTATTTCGGTCAGGTTTATTTTATGAATACGTAGAGACTGTTTTTAGGGTTTGGACGTTTGCTTTATGTTGGAGAAGGAAGAACTATAATAAAGCCCCTCTTATTTTTTTATCCGATTTATTTTACTTGAAGGATGTCAATCATCCTTTTTTTGATATAATTAAAACATACTTGCCAAGCTTTAATGAATACTACGTAGAAAATACCCATAGCCGTATTAGAGCTAATACCTCTCCAAACGCGACAGCAAATAATATAATAAAGCAAGCTTATGTTATTAGTAAATAATTTTATACATATAATTTTTATTTTTATTTATTTATTTATTTATTTATTTTTCTTTGCTAAGTGGATCATAACTCAGTATTCAAGGACAACTATCATAAAAAACGGCAATACCCATACAATAACCCGACCCTTGATTTTTTGGATAAGAAAACTGGCCTTTTTTTATTACAATATTTTCAAGATTTATTTTACAATAATGGAAAAAGTATTCCCAAGTTTGATGGAAAAAAAAAAAAAAAAAACCCAGAAATATATCATCTTGCAACCTTAGATGAAGACGTAGACTTACGACGCTTACCCACAGCATATAGTACATCATACCCACCAAAGCCTGGATTATGTGATTACTGCAAGTCTCCCCTGGGTGAAAATAATGGAATGGCCTTAATTTGTGGTCACGGTTATCATTTTGTGTGTTATAATGGAAAGTGCGTTTATTGTGAGGAATTTTATAAGAAAGGGATTTTTGAAAATATCAACTCATTTTTAAAACGGATTAAAAAAAGTCCAGATGTACTTACGTCTGAAGATCTTGATGATAATGAAAGTGAGGAGGAGGAGGAAGAGGAAAGTTCTGAGGAAATTGAGAAGAATTTTGATGTTTTTTCTAAGTTAGAAACAGAAATTAGCCAAATATGTTTTTGGTAATAATGTAAATAGCATAAGCGAAGATCAATAAACTTTCAAATTGCAAGCTAAAATACTTTTTTTGAATGATTTAAGTTGCTCTAAAGACAGAACGTTAAAGTTAATTCACATTTATACTACCTTTGCTAACTTCGTATTAACAAAAACTCCTGTCTAATAAAAGTTACTCAACATTCGGATTACAGAGATTATTCTTTACAATCTACTTGTATAACAACCAAAGAGTTAATATACAAAGTTTCACGAGGAACCAATCAATTTTAATATATTTTTCACATATCTCCCTTTCCTATCGATCTATATCTAAATTACATATAAAATGTTTGTGTAACATTACGTATAAGTAGAATCTCAGTCATGCTAATGCAGTTAGGGTTATTATTTATAAAATATCACTATGCAATTTGCATATCATTATGTAAACGAACCTAGCTCCTGTGTACACTTATTTGCGCCGGTGATACAAACCAAATAAGGAAATTTTCTTATGAAGATCGCAAGATCAGGTGTAACAGT